ATAATGAGATGATTTAATTATAATATATTATACTTTAACAGATATCGATAAGTTAGAAATACAATTGTTTGTAACTTCTTGCTAAGTTATTGTTAGAAGTTAGTTCAACAATCTTCAGATAAACATAAACGATATAAATGTTAACCCAAATAAATTAGAATATATTCGTAGCTTTTATAATACAACGAATATTCTTTTACGTAATATTACGTAAATACGCATGTTAAAGATAACAACCTTTGTCTAGACGAGACCGTTGTCTAATAAAATTATACGAATACACGCTACTACATATTATTCTTATCTTTCGATGTTATGATACTCGTATAAAGTAATTGAAATGACTAGAAGTTCTTGTGTAAAAAAAAACATTTGTAACACAATTTTGATGCGAAAATTAACAAGTTTTGTAATACGTTTCTTCCATAATATCACTAAATGAATTAGGTTTGGGTGTACAATTTTCGGTAAAATCGATTGTCTAAACGTATTATGGCTTTTTATGACATTTTCATATAAAGCTCTCCAAGTTCAAAATCATGGTATTAATTGAACAAATACACACTGACTGGCAAATAGGGAATATTAAACACAATGTTTTTATCGAATATGTGGAGTTTATGTACAAATTGGTATATGAATAGCCTCCTGAAATGCTTCGTCAATGTTTAGATTGACTCTCCTTTATATAGCTTTTCAGTATTCTCGTAACTTTCGTTTCACGTCAATCATTTGTCATTATGTTCTTATGTTTATGCTACTTCCGTTTTCGTATGTTCATTTTTTTCTTTAATGATTTATTTATTTTGCTATTATATTTAATTTTACTTATAACTATCTAGTACTTTAAATTAAAAAAAAAACATAAAGGTTATAGTTCAACTACCAGCACTCTACTAATTTAAAAATAACTAATAAACATACAAATCGAAACGATTATGAATTAGCAATTAAACAATAATTTTGTTAAAGTCTTTTAAAAAACGTAGTGTCGTAGTGCAGTACCTACGTTGCGGCGCATTGTATTTTCGTAGCAAAATGCTACGCTTTTCGTAGCGCTTCCTTAGCATTGAGTTACATTTTTTCGAACTTCGAGAAATGGTTCTAAGCCATGAGAATTAATTTTAACCAAAGCTATTAAGGTTTTAAATGTAACGAAATATACCCATGCATATATGTAAAGTATTAGCGGAAATGTGGATTTGTCAGTTGTACAAATTAATTAAAATAATTAATAATAACGAGTAATCGGATTATTGGATACGCAGCTTACAATAAGCCGACAACATTGATGGCAAAGGGAGCGTCTGCGGACAGATATCCAATCATATCAATGCTTTGAAATCCATCGGCTTAAATGAACATGCATCCGTATCATATTAAGCAAAGGTTTTAACGTACATATCTATTTTATCTTGCGTTACGTTTCCATATGAAATAATCTAAACATATAACAAAAATGGAGTGTCTGTTTGCAATATCAAAAGACAAAATTCCAGGTTTCAGGAAGATGATGTATTGGCGTTGCCGATAACGAAAATCGCATTTAATTTTTTTTGTCTGTCTGTCCCCAAGCCGCGTTTGTTGCGAGTAATCTCCGAAACGGCTGAGCCGATTTCGACGGGATATACTATAGACTACTTTTTTAAATTCTGCCAAAATGCCGTTACGAGTGGTTCCAAATTTGTGCTAACGAAGTTTGGGGGCGACAGCTCGTATTAAAATAGATTTGGAGTTTTTATTATTTTTCAGTAGGAAAATGGAATTTATATATACATCAACGAAGTTTGCGATCACTAATTGAGTAAAACCTTTTTTTATTACCATTTAAAATAAGAATAAGCTCTCTTTTTTTCTCTCTTTATGATTAAAAACATAACGTCTCTCTAACTTCCAGTAATGTGGGTACTTGCTTTAGAATTGTGTTAACGGCAAATGTATTTTTAATTGTATAGAATGTTCTTGTTATGAACTCGCTACAAAGCCGACAGTCATACAAAACTCCTCTATAGCTATATTTGACCTAAAAAGACACAGGTCGGTTTAATTTTGTAACTTTTGTCGAGATATTTCTATTACATTTTCAATTTCATTAAGTGCAAGAACAAATACAACGAGATTTTATTAAAAGAAACTTAAAACATATTTGTGTTTTATGTTTAGAATAAATTCCGTTTAACGTCCATATTGCGATTTCTGGTTTTAGAAAGTTTTTTTGGTTTTACACGTTTTTGCATGTAAGCGTTTTAAAAATAAAATTTGAGTAGCTATTCATGTTTTATCAGTATGTGTTAATTATAATGAAATAGGAAAAAGGTGTTTCTCTATTAAAATAAAGTGGCAACACATACAAAAGCGTAACAAAACGTAATTGGGCCGCTACTGCAGGAATGAGACTGGCTTTCATGGAAAACCAACGTGAAGTGTTGGTAAAAGGCTGTTGCGATTCGTGTAGTTTAATGTTTGAACACAATGGCGCAATTACTTACTACGACGTATTTACTTTTACTGGCCATAGAATTCTCTTTATTTGTACTTAACAGCTTAATATCTGCAGCTTTTATAAATTATAGAACTAGTGTACGAAATTCACAGTACAATCTCATAGGATGCTGTTTCAAATTAGACTGGGAATTGGTAAAATGTCGTTGTCACCTGCCAGTACTGGCATTCAATAATTTCGCCATAGTATTTCACTCCCTATCTACATCTATACTATAATAATATTATAAAGAAAAAAGATTTTTTTTTATTATGTACTCAATTTACGTTTAACCTACTGGGCCGATTTTAAAAATTCTCTCACCATTAAAAAAGTAATTTATCTGTGAACAACATAGGCTGTGTTTTTATTATTTATTAATATCACGCACACGAAGTCGCGAGCAACAGCTAGTCGTACTAATATTATAAATGCGGAAGTTTATATGGATAGATGAATGGATGTTAGAGTTTGTAGCCTAAACGGCTGAAAGGAACCCCCGTGGAACGGAATCCCGTGGATAACAATAATCTAAGTAACTATAAGTTGTGAAACTTATTAAACACAGGAGCTATCAACCTTGCTATTAACAATTGTTAACTTCAATTTGTTTATCGTTTTGTCATTTGTACAAGTGCTCTTTTTTATTTAGGTCGTTTCAGAGCCTCATTATAGAATACGGCTTTGTGAAACTATTGAGCCGTTTGTTACATGTGGACTTTATAACTGTGCGCGTTCCCGTTTTCGAATGTCACGTATATTTGAAAATATCGCTGGATAAAGTCAGTGCTCCATTTTATTAAGGAAAACTATCGTTGCTATCTGATAGTGTATTTTAATTTTACGTTTGAGTTTTGAATGTAATAGCGCCAATATTTTTCTCTATACAAGTAAAGTTATATAATATGAGACGGTTTTCTTTTGATCAATAATTGGTAAGTTAAAGTTAAGTTGGAGTTGAATTAAGTGTTTACCTTTCTAAGCCTAATAAAAAAGTATAAAGTGCCTATTTACTTGTTGACTTGTCTAGAGTGATTCTCATGGAGTTTATAGTCATATTTAAACATAATTTGTATTATCTAACATTGTACAATAAAATATAATAGTATTTAAGTATTTTTGATTTAATATTTATCACAACTTCCATAGTGACATAGTTAACATTTACTTTCATGTGCACTTTTTTCAATTTTCATACCATTGGAATAATATCTGCGGACCTAATATTTTACGTTTTTGTGACGTAGTACGGAAGTAATGCTAAAAATAGAATCACGGTTCAATGCGCGTGTGACGGACATGCGGGTAAAAAAAGGATTTTCCTTTCGTTTGCACGAATTTTACATGTTTGAACGACTTTACAATAGAGTTTAAATTGATTTTATTCGAATATGAAACTAAATGTGTACTTAATAACAATATGTACACACCTTACTCCAACCATCATTAAATGAAATAAAAGTGTTGCATCTGCAATTTATTGAATAACCAATTGAAGGCACATTATTTCCGTTATTGCTTCTGAAAATATAATTAAGGTTAACGCAATCAAGTATTTATAATTTTCGCTTCTGCTTAACTATTACAATAAGAGCAAGAGACAACTACAGTGCCGTAAATTTTTGTTGTAACATACTGAGGTCTATTTTTATTAAAATATCTTTTGTTTAAAATTATAACAAGTAATAGAAGTAAATTTAAATTTGTTTTATTCAAATAATTACTTACGTTTGTACTACATTTATAATCTGAAAACAAGGTTTTGTATGTAAATGTAGCATTATTTCAAATTGACTTGTCAGTGCTTACATTCCGCATCACAAAGCTCTAGTTGTGAAACACGGACGTATCCATTACATAGAATGACTGCACGAACTACTCTTCATTTATAACCTAAATCACCAAAGAGATATTTTGAATATAAAATAGTCGGTTTCCATATTCATTTACATTATGTTATTTATCTAAACCATTTTTTATATACTCTTGCATACTGTTAATAAATTTTATTGGAAACTTTAAATTGGTTATAAGAAAATTTCACCCTACCCTTTTTATAAATTAATTTTCGCTTATTCTTACAAACTGGCAACACGTAGAAATGGCGGATGTAAATGCGTAACTCATCGACAGAATAACTTTTATGCAGTTTTACTTCTACCAGTTAATAAAGGCTTAATTAAATCTGTACTAATATAATAAAGCGTAAACACACACTACGTTGTGGCGTAAGATGTCAGCAATTACAGCATATTTTTGAATAATTCTATTTTAATAAATAACCCTACACTTACTTCATGCTTTAGGCTATATATTTTCACGCTATTAAACTTAGGGTGTAAATAAATTGGAAAAATCCCTCATGTGGGAATAGGACCATAAACTACAAGCTGCCAACATCAAGGAAGCAAAATTGCCATAGTTGACATTTGTGCATTTGACTTTTGTCCTTTGCATTTGAGAATTTGGAACAAGATAACGTATAGGAAAAGCTAGTAATACATATTTGTGCCTGCAGATGTGCTGGTTGCCGCGGTAACGGCCGGCGCGAGGCGATGATCGACCACATGGGCCGGCCGCCCTCTCACTATGCGGCAGCAGTCGACCGATGTAAGTTTTTTGTTAGTAAACAATCACACAGAATAATCTTAGCAAACAGTAACCAAACTATCTAAAGCGTCAATAGCTAAATTGTTAAGAGTACCACCAAAGACGTGAATCATTTGCCAGAATTTTTTAATAACTTGCTAGTATTACTATTCAGAAATACTCGTAATGTTATCTTCATTAATGATCATAACAGTAAATTCTATCGACAACTACAAATATTACCAATTTTTTAAACGGATTTTCACAGCTTGAATGTTCATTTCGAACAACTGAATTTTAACTCGGTATTCTCCTTTTATTCTTTTACGTAATATTCAGATTAGATTTGCCGAAATGTATTGCTTTTTATCGTGTTCTCGGTTATTTATTCCAAAGCAGATTCCCATTAAGATGTAATATCGCAAGAGATATAAAAGAGGCTTCCCCGAGGCCTGTATTTGAAGACAATAATCTTAATGACGTTTCATGTTATCACTCAGCGTTATTAAAATACTTGGAGATTTCTTTTAAAGATGATATAAATTTCTAAGATTTATTTTGCACTTCGAACAGAAAGGTGCAAATGATGAATACTGTCAATGGACCTGATTTCGGAATACATAAATGCACAGCGCAGTCAAAATATTCGTTTACGGATTAGCTGCATTGATCTCTCTGTAAAATGCAAATCCCATTTCGTTCATTTGTAATTTTGCAATGCAACAATTTATTTATACAGTTGCTTTAAATTGCTTTTCGAATAAGCAATCATTGGTAACTTGAGTCCACTATTTGGATGAGAGTAAAGCTCACTTACACTGCGGCGGAAAGACCTACTTTCCGAGGCGATACGTGCCGGTTAATTTCCGTATTGGCAGTCAATCTGTGTGGATTGTAACCTTCATACAACTGGTATTTAACGAACAATTTTCGCAACTTTTTTAAAAAAATATCTATTAACATTGCATTAACGATTATGGCTAATTTTCTTAATCGGTCAGGGTCTAATTTTTAGACGTCATCGTTAAAGATCAGAGAACCATATCGTGCATTTTGTAAAATTGTCTAGTCTTATTTAAAATTGCCAAATACATAAACTAGTTTAATCCATGTGTCCACGTAGAATCTCATAGTTCCTGCTTATGCTTAAAACGAACTAAGCCTATCACTGGTGTTGTTAACTCTGGTTGTAAAAAAGAAGAGTTGATAGTTATGATGTATGTTGTTCTGCAGACGGTCGACAAGGCAGTATGCACGGAGGAGTCTGGCGCGGCGCGGCTGGAGGCGGTACTGGTCGCGTTGGTGGAGCGCAAGGCGCGCGCTTTGCACGCCGAGCACGCCCGCCGTCGCGCACGCACTCACCCCTTGCTGTTGCTATTCCGGGACCATTTGCCAGACGGTCAGTATCACACATTGTATAGTGTACAACATCTAGGGATGATTCACAAGTAACAAGGAGGATTGCGTGATAGGTGACATAGTCAAGAAAACAGTGATGGCTGAGATGATGTATGATAGAATTAAGTGAAGGACAATTACCTGTTGCGCCATCCCTACGGGAGTAGGATAAGGAGAATGATGATGAGTGTACAATATCTATCAAACCCAAAACTTATTACTTGTCGCAAAAAACTGTAAGGATTCTAGAGTTTAATAATTTAGCCAAATAAATCAAATACATCCGATAAACTATGTTTGAACGAAACGTTACGAATATCACAATATCCTTAGGAAAAACGAACTAAACCTCACATATAAATGACTAGCCCTATAATCCTCAAAAGTATGTAATTAAGACTGTTTTAACTGTGTGACTTTTACATAAATTCTGAATTCTTTTTAAAACATATCACTTTTATAATTTCAGAAGAGGCATGTATGGTGGAGAGCCCCGGGCAAACGCTACCATCGCACTGGTGTGAACACGAGATCGCGAGGCACAAACGCAAGAAGCTCAAACTGCAAATGCACAACAAGTAAGAAACGTTGAATTAGCTATCTTCGAGCTAGGTCATAGATAGGACGTCCAAGTTAATGTTTGTAGCTTACATTAGACGAATAGCTTCTACGTGACGCTCCGATAAAATTGTTGTAGTGTAATTAACCTTTCAAGATCAGTGAAGAAATCATGAAGCAGATAGAGAGAAATTTAATAAAAAAGTAGTATTTTGTAACTCCAGATGACTTTTAGGTTTTATTACTATGAAATGAACGTATTATTTGTTATTCAACAGAAATGCAAACAGTCCCGGCCGGTTGGGGAGCGAGCGACGTCGCCGGCGACGCAGGCGCAGTCCGCACGCAAACACACATTCACACAAACCTAAGAAGCATCGCACGCTGCTCGTATCCGCTATTGATGAACAGGCGAAGGTCATACACGTAAGTTACACACACAATATGTGTGTGTGTGTGTATTTTCATTTTCGCTTTCGAAGAAGTCCAATAAAAATTGTATGCGATAAAAATGCGATTACACCATTTGTGTGCATCAAAAGAATGTCCCATCAAAAGAAATAAGAAAATCAATGCGCTGTGCTAATCTTAAAACAATCTTGCAAAGCTATTCATAACGAGTTAAATAAATGAACAGGTAACTACTTTACAATGATGATATTTTTAATTTGTTAATATAACGATTAAAAATATATCTTAAGATATTCCAAATGTTTTGCAATTCACCGCTTTTCAAGGAAAATTCACGTGGAGTTGTTCACCACAAACTAGATGGCGTTTGAATCAATATATTACGAAGCTTTAATTTCACAATTCGTCGCGTGGCGCTTGCACTCTTGTCAGTTTGTCATAGAACAAAATGTAGATGGCGCTTTCTTATATTTTACCAGTACGTTTTATTCTTACTTTTTATTTAACAACAAAACTTTTATCTAGTTAAATAGTTCTTGGAATATTTACACAAATTGTTTCATTTGCTTTAATTGAAAATACATATGATACTGAAATACTCAAATAGTAAAATAAATTTATTTGAGAGTTCTCAACTCAATATCTGTTGACACTTGCATTTCACGTTCCAGTTCATTATGAACCATTACATTAATGGAACAAGATAAATCCTAGTTGCGGAGTAACAATACTATTTATACAACGGCTAAATTTGTTATTAGGTGCTGGATCCAGACGAGTTGCCGCGGCGGGCGCGCTACACGATTATGGTGACAGCCTGTCTGTTGCTCTTCCTTTGTCTGCTATTGGTCGGAGTTACGCTCAGAATGGCCCCTCTCATAGACGACATGGGTAAGTGACAGCTTTAATTTTAATGGAGCAGGAAGACAGGTACTTACCAAGCATATTATGTAGCGACTCTCCTTTTCTAAGTAGAACACTAAAGAAAGAGAACAGGTTAAATAATTTTGATTCTGGTCATTTCTGCTCTTTTCATTTGTTTTCAAATGAATTCCATCTTTATTATTATCTTAATATGGTACATGTTTATATTTTTGGTTGAGCATGTAGTATGTTGTAACTATCGATTGACAACACTAAATACCATTAGGTTTTTTTGCAAATATGGACTAGGTCATTACTTAGTTTGCTAGGTACAAACTAGGTATTGTGGTAAGTAACATAATCTATTTTAACGGATTTCGATTTTGTTTCCATATATATCATCGAGAAAATCGGAAATCTTGAAAAGAATTCACCAAACTTCAATTTCAATTGAATGTTACTGTTAGAAAATAAAGTTTCTTACGAGCAGAAGTTTAACGTTTGTATCGAGTGTATTCATCGCTCGCGCGCTGTCGATATTCCAAACATTGTTGTTACGCTTAATTTGACTACATCTGCGAATATTTCATCATATCTATGTATGTATTGTGCTCTGGTAGTTAATACTAGGAATCTTGAGAACTCTTATTTATTTGTGTTTCAATTATTTAAACTATATAATGTACATGTTTTTTCTTCCTACTTTACTTTGTCTCCATCTTGCTGGTTTTTATATAATAGATGAAATAAATAACATAACTTGTATTATTATTATAACCTTAAACTTGGACATGTTAAATACCTGAAATTGCTAACAGATATCGAAGGCTAAAAGAGAACGGATGACCTAATTTTATTTCGTTTTACACAGAAAAAGTTGTTTAATTTATGAGAGACATGCGAATTTTTGAAAAGTTTTACGTTGAACATTTTTATAATTATTCAGTACCGTATAAAGACGTATCAAGTGCAAATGACGTTATCAGAGAACGTGACTTGCGCATTTCTGTAGAAACTAGACCCTTCAAGAAAAGGACAAGGTAATATTTTATAGCAAAATTAATTTACGATGAGAATAAATGTTAAAAATGTTTCAGTATGCTATTTTCTATATTTTTCTATATTGTAGGAAGGTTAAAAGGGTTTTTAAATGAGGATCCTAAATAGTAAAATATGAATAAATCGATATCACTGATTTAAACAGTAGTTCTACATTTATCTTATATTAAATTAGTATAGACCCGCAAAGTTATATGACAAAGTGGACATAAGTCACTCTAAATTATAGTTCACTTGCGCCCTTCCATTAGTATCAAAAACTGTCACAAGATCCCTTTCCTACTATAAATGTTTTATCATTTATTTTTCTTTCAAGTCATTTTATATGACCATGTAAGTTTTTCTTTTGGACCATACTAACCAGAATAGCAGCGCCTTTCACCGTGCCAAATATCATTGTTTGACTATACTTCTTTTTTCAGACATTAACCAGTATTTAAATACATTAATTATAATAAATACATTACATATACATTTATTTCAATACCATATTTTTAGTTAGCACATATATGATCATAATATGTGTTATAAATCACTAGCTGTTCGCGTGCGGCTTCACCCGCATGAAATTATAAATTTATTGTTTGCATTTGTCATATTCTCAATTGCAAATGTCAAAATACCAATTACCTTTCTTTGACAATCTTGCTTCCTTGATGTTGGCAGCAACTTATGGTCTCTTTCCCACATTAGGGTCTTTATTCAAAATATTTACCCCTTAACTTTAACGGTGTGAAAATATATAGCCTAAAGCGTGACGTAAGTGTAGGGCTTTTTATTAAAAAAAGAATTATTCAAAAATATGCTGTAATTGCTGAGATCTTAGGTAACAAACACGTGTGTATTTACGCTTTACTATAATAGTATAGATAAGTGCTTTCGAAAGTTAAAAATCCTTTTACCAACTGCATATGTGACGCACGACGATCGGTTAAAGTGTTTACAGAGTAATAAGTTTATTTCAACAAGGGCGTAACGGAAATACTAAAGGTACTCGTTATCGTCGACACAAATGTGACGTCTCGTTTAATATTATAACCATTGACGCACGCGATGTTTATCGCTGCGACACACTTCTCATTGCTACGACGAACGAAGTACAAGAACATCTAAAATCTAAACGTCTATCTAAAATCTACAAACACTTTTGACACTATAAAAGACACATATGCTAAGTATTAATGGAATTTCAAGCAGTAAATATCATAGTCTTATGAATAGAAATTATTTATTGTATTGTATCGGCTTGTCGCCTTTGCGTTTCTAACCATTAGACAGATTATAATGGAAATTTATTAGAACGTCCTCAAAAGGACAAAGAAATATTCTCGCCAAAAAAATTGTGAAATGAACGTTTTTAATAATCTGTTATTTCGACATTAGCATTCCTACTCATGTCAGGTAGTCATACTAATATTATAAATGCGAGAGTTTAGATGGATTTTTGTTAGAGTTTGTAGCTTAAACGGCTGAATCGATTTCGATGAATAAATGTAGTGGATAGTCTGAAAGAATACATAGTCTACTAACATTTGGTTTTTTTTTTTCATTCCAAGCTGACGGTGTCGCTGTCGTTTTATATAAATTTAATTTGATACGAGAAAGCTTGTAATTGCACATGGTAGGGTACGCGTGGACAGGTGCCGTACCCTCTTCACGGCGGTGTTACCAGCTGTCGTCGAGGTATAGACTGCGGAGTACTTACTCGCTAAATAACTTTCACTATACGCCACCACACCTTTACAGATTCCGAAATAGATTTATTTTAGAATTAACTCTTTAGCAATAAAAATCTTAGAATAAGAAATTAGGAATTTACAATCTTCATGTTTCTTGCCTTGTAAAAAAATGAAACCAAACCACGATTAGTTATATCAATTTAGTTTCTTTTGTTGTAAGAGTCTATGAGAATTATAACAGTTTTACTTTAAGATTTAAACGAAATTGAACACGGAAATGTAGGGTAGACGTAAACCTTCGTTGACAGGGAAAGTATTAAGGAGCGACGGAACATGATGCACGTAACTTTACACTCGGCTTTACTGAAAACTCTCACGTCCAATCCAATGGATTCGCAAACGTGTCTTCAACAAAATGTCATCTTTTTTTTCGAGAAATTACTGATGAATTTTAAACTAAATTTTAAACTATACACTGCAAGTAAATTAAACTTTGTTATGTCGAATTTACATATATATTGTGAGTGCTTAATCGAATCTACAAACCGGAGCGTTGTTACACGCGTAAGATGAATATTACGCATGCAAATTGGAATCAAGTTATAACGCTAATGCTGTATCGGTGTTAAAGGAAGCTGGCCTGCGTTGCTAAGACTGATTTAAGAATTATTAGTTGGATATAATGGAGAAGCTACACTATAACTCTGCTATTGTCTGTCTATATTTTTTTTCGTTTAAAAATGTATTTATTTAACTAAATTATAAGGTGTTGATGTACCAGTACCAAGTAATGGGAATGAGTTTAAAGTTCTACAAGAAATTAGATGAATAAATATATATGTATATCTCAGTAATAACGTGTGTAACATGTTTGTATAACACTACTTACGTATAAACAGTGTTTAGTCGCAAGACTTACAAAACATCGTACATCTTTCTTTAGCTTACGAGTTTGTGGGGATTTTCTAACCGATTTATTGTTATACAAACACGTTATCTCGTTGAGTTTAGTTATAAATGAATTTAGTGTTGTGTAATGTTATTTTTAAATGCCTACTTTATTTTTTAGTCAAAACTGTCTTATTTTAATAGATACTACTAAAAATAAGTAACAAAAAAGGAAAATTATGTAAAAATAATATCTAATAACCTTTAATTAATCTCATTATTCCTTAGAAGTGTTTTTTAATTAAATTCTGTATGACTTATGATAGATTAAATTTATAAAATGTTTTACGAGAATGATTATGTTGTCAAACTCAACTCAGATATATCGGAATAATGATGAGGGTGAAAATTATTTACGCAATAATGAGAAGTGAGATTGCGGAGCATTAATAGAAATCTTGAAATGACAGATTATATTTAATGTTTTAAGTATTTAACAAACCTGTTCTTACTAATATATAAATGCGAAAGTTTAAATGGATGAATATTTGTTAGAGTTGGCCACTTAAACTGATTAATGAATCTCGATGAAATTAGGCATAGATGTAGAGAATAGTCTGGAAGAACACATAGGCTATTTTTTTAATACCACGCGGACAAAGTCGCGAGCGAAAGCTAGTTGAATCATAAATAAATGTCAGAAACATTTATAACTCTTCACTTGATATACAAAAATTTCATTTCAAATATTCAGACATATTAGATATTCTATTTTACGATATTTCTATATGTCTGATGTTTTTACGACGTCGTAAAATATTATACATCTGTACTAGATAATCAAGAAGTTTCTACCTACCTGCAAATCGACATCATATTAAAGATATAGGGACATAAAATATTACATGTAATGTTTTTTCCCAATATACTAGCAAGTGTTTTCTGAAATAATCAGCGTTCCCCCCGACTATAAACGTAACGTGAATATAAAAAAAACTAACTAGTTACTTTGATAATAAAGTATTCTTAGCAAATGATTTTTTTTAATTGGTCAATTGGTATTTTTTGCATTACATACAAAAGTTCAAAACTATTCTATTTCTATACCATGGTACAGATATTTTCATAGTTACATATTTTATTAAAACTGAAGTCTAAAAAAAATCAGTCGTTTTTGTCAATGGTATAGAAAGCCAACTAACTATAATGTTTTTTTTCAAATTCATTGCTTCTAATATAGAACAATTTATGGATTACGAATCTGTGAATAATCAATACAATTTAAAATATTAATGGAAAATTCCAAAGCCATTAGGTGTTAAAAGTTTTTAATTTGTTTCATCAACTGTCTGGCGCCAAACGATTAGTCTCGTCTCTCGTCATTCTTTAGAGTTCGGTGAT